CGCACGGCGGAGACCTCGAAAGGCGAGGCGGAGGCATGGACACCGTTGTCTCCCGTGTCCGGCTGCGCCTCTTTGGGGTTGGCGCTTTGAGGTTTTAGGGTTTAGGGTTTAGGGTGTAGGGTTTAAGGTGTAGGGTGTAGGGTTTAGGGTGTAGGGTGTAGGGTTTAGGGTGTAGGGTGTAGGGTTTAGGGTTTAGGGTTTAGGGTGTAGGGTGCAGGGTTCAGGGTTTAGTGTTTAGGATTTAGGGTTTGGGATTTAAGGTTTAGGGCTTAGGGTTTAGGGTTTAGCCTCTTTGTGATTGGCTTTGAGGTTTTAGGGCTTGCCAAAGACACGAAGCCCCTCTACCCTTTTACTGGGGACCGAACATAGGACCCTATAGTACCACCCTTCAAGGAAGTCCAGTCATGGTTTGCCCGCCTTGAGTCCGAGGTCGCTCCAGTCCTCGCAAAGAAATTTGGGTGGAAGGATCTTGTACGGTATAAGGGTTCGTAAGAGTCTACGGTTTAAGACAGTTTAAGGTTTCCAAGGCTTTATACCGTTGATAGTGCTTGGGAAGACGGATTCGATGTTGTTGCAGTGCTTTCGCTGGCGATGTAGGTGCACATGGTCAGTTCCGAACTGAGCAACGCAGTGGGCATGAAAGCTCAAGAGAATCTGTATGTGTACATATATATATATATATATCGCCGCCCATCACCGTCAGCATTATCATGCCCTTTTGACCCGTGCATATCCTTATTGTCATCACTCCGGTCATCGTCGCTGCCATGGCCATGCTATCTTCAACCTCTCGGACACCACGGCCACCATCACTATCATCACCATCATCACCAGGATCAAGACCACCATTACCCTCAGCAGCAGCATCAAAATCATCACCATCATCTCCATCGTCGTCATCATCATCCGACCCGCCTTCCTCCTGGCTATCAAACCTGAAATGAAGTCACGGCTCAGGCCTGGCAAGCACTATCCACACACGCCGCAAGACCCCAAACCACTGTGCCCTAAACGCCCGAAACCTGGAAGCCCTTCCAACCCGAGATGATAAGCCTCCTTCGGGGACTACATCAACTATTGTTAATTATCCCTAGGTTTGTGATATGCCAACTCAACAACCAAACCTGGTGTTTTTCCGGAACATCCAGAATAGAATCTGAAGGGGAACTCCTACAGGAACCTCGTAAAGGAACCCTTAAGGCTTCAGGAAGCCCGAGGCATCCCTTCAAGCTTCAAGGAAGCCCCGTCTGAATGAGAGGAAGCCCCCCGACCAGCCCTACACGCTAAACTCTACTTACAGGTTCATGGGACTTAGTAACTAGGGTTATAAATAAGGTAACTAGACTTATAGTTACTTATAACCCCCAATTAGGGTACTTATGATCTTACTGACTAAGTCCCATGATCCTCCAAGTCAACGCTAAACTCTAAACAGCCATAAACTGCTGTCCTTGTAGATGAGGCCACGCAGGGAGCCGGCAGGGGCCGCAGCCGGGTCCGTAGGCCCGAGGAACTTGCCTTTCAAGAGGCTGTACGTGTTTAGGCGGTTTAAGGTTTAGGATTTTGGGTTTAGGGTTTATGAGTTTTATGGTTTAGGGTGTAAGGTTTAGGATTTTGGGGTGTTCTATCTCTACATTCAAGTCCTTGTGGTTGGGGCTTGGAGGTATTTATGTGGTATGTCCTTGCGGCTTAAGCTTAAGGAGCTGTAGGGCAATACCGTAAAGTTTCGGAGTTGAGGGTTTGCCGGCACCTGATATCAACAACCCCCTGCTGTCACCCTCAATCGTTGAGCCCCACACAGAAAATCGGAAAGTCCCCCAAGCCTAAGTCTAAACCTGAACCTGAACCCCAATAAACCTGAACCTGAACCCCAAGCCCGTGCAAGTTAAAACCCTTTGAAACCACCTAGAAACTCTTGCAAAACCCCACTTCACTCTATAGCACACCCCATGTGGAAAGGAATCACAACCTTAAACCCTTAAACCCTAAACCCCAAACCCCAAGCCCTACACCCTAAACCCTACCCACCCAACCCACCCTACCCCCACCCTACCGTACCCTACCCTGCCCTACCCTACCCCTACTACACCCTGAAGCCTGAGCGCTAGACCTGTCTTTCCCCCCTGGGGTCACACCCGCCTCGGAAGTCCTCCCACTTCATCTTGTCCGCCGGCCACTCCACCTGGCGGTCTCGTGAAACCGGGGAGCCCGAAGACTTCTAGGCGGCTTAGGGTTTAGGGTTTAGGGTTTAGGGTTTAGGGTGTAGGGTGTAGGGAGCCCCGAAGGCTTCCAAGGGGCTTAAGGCTTAGGGCTTCAGGCTTGGAGGGTTCTTACAGGGTGCGTGAGATTTCGGTTTGGGTTTCATACGTTTTCATGAAGATGCCCCCTACTCCATCTTTGCCTGAGGCGTTAGCTTCTTCGGGCCTTCTTGCACTACGGATTTTCAGGTCCCCCTGTTGCCTGGAACTCCCAAAAAAGGGGAGCACCGTGAAGTCGGGGTCGACGATCAGAGGATCGGACCATCGTCGTGGGGGATCTTACACTACAAATACATGGGTTTAGGGCTTGGAGTTTAGGGTTTAGAGTTTAGAGTTTAGGGTTTAGGGTTTAGGGTTTAGGGAGTTAGGGGTTACCAGGGACTGTAAGGGCATACTACTACTAAGTCTTCCGACCCCTAGATTCTTAGTAACACCGAAGGGAACACCTCAGAAGTGCCCTCACCCTCTACAGGGCCCTGTCAAATACAGGCTCAGGGCTTGCGGGTTTTTTTGGATTGCTCGCAACGTACCCACAGCCTTCGCTACACCTACTCTCAGGAATGTCACGCACAGGAACAAAACGCAATAAAGTGCTGTTCTGGCGAAAGGCCATGCTTCCCCGCCTCGTAGTAGTAAATGCTCGTTCCGGGCGCAGTGAACTTGGAGCGCATGTTCATGTAGAAGCCGTTGATGACGTAGATGCTATCAACCTGCTTGGGGGTGAGGGCTGAGGGATTTAGGCGTTCAGGCGTGAGATGTGTCAATCTGGGAGGCTTTGGGCTCGGCGAGCGCGTTCATTCCCATCAAACTCCCTGACACCATCGTGACCACCATCAACGGCATCACTGTTTTCATCATCACACATGCCTCGACCAAAACCGAAAGCAGCATCATGATTACCACCATCATCATCGTCATATCACCATCACCATCAGCAGCAGCAGAAGCAGCAACCGCAGCCGCAGCAGCAGCAGCAACAACAACAACAACATCGTCGTCATCATCACCACCATCATCACCATCATTAGCGCAAGCAGCGGAATCCCCTCACGCCTCGCAATCATCAACAACAACATCAGCATCAGAGAAAACTGAGAAAACACACAAATGCGGTACGCCTTGTGTGCCCATAAACCCTAAACCCTAAACCCTAAACCCCTAAACCCTAAACCCTAAACCCTAAACCGCCAGGCCTTGCCGCAGTAGAAGCCGCCGCCGAACCTCAGAAGCGAGATCCCCGCCAGTCCTTCCAGACTTGGGGCTCCGACCCAATTCCCGATCCGGGGTTTAAGGTTTAGGGGTTTCGGGGTTTAGGGGTTTAGGGGTTTAGGGGTTTAGGGGTTTAGGGGTTTAGGGGTTTAGGGTTTAGGGGTTTAGGGGTTTAGGGTTTAGGGTTTCCAAATCCTAAATACTACACCCGAGACCCGAAAACCCAAATCGGCCCCAAATCCTAAACGCTAAACAGTAAATAATGTAAAGCCTTAAACCCCACACCCTGAGACGGAGCCCAAACCCTGAGACTGAGGCTTGATGATGGTCTCGCCCTTCTTGAGCGCATCGTACTTCTTGCCCAGCTCCTGGGCGCGGATTTCGCAAACTTCGGGAAATCTAGGACTCTAGGAAGGCTTCGAACACTCGGCGGATGGCTTCAGGCGCCGACCTTACCGTTCCAGGTTCTACGGGTTTAGGGTTCGGGGTCCAGTCGTGGGTGAAGGAGGGTGCCTGTTGGTGGGCTTGGCGCTCTCGTAGAGTTGTTAGCTGTTCACCAAACCTGAGCTCTAGATCCTACCAAAACGTAAACCCGAGACCCTAAGCCCTAGCACCTCCAAACCCTGAACCCTGATACGCTGCAGGCCTGGGTTCGGTGTCGGAGTTGAATGCTCCCAAACTTCACCCAAAACTTCTCTAGTAGTAGTGGTGGTAGTAGTAGTAGTAGTAGTAGCAGTAGCAGTAGTTGTAGGTAGTAGTAGTTGGCCTGAGGCTGACAATACCCCTACACAACCCTTCACCTGTAGGAGACAGGAAGAGGACTTGATGACCTTGGTGATGATGACGATGATGATGGTGATGATGATGATGATATGTCAATGTGCTACAGATACAGGAGCATGTAAGCAGATGTGCTTGGACCCACGGGTCGTCATCACGCGCAGAGGTGCCTGATCATGCCTCGAGACCAAGCGCGAGGCAGAGAAGATGATGATGACGATGGTGGCGGTGGTGCTGATGATGATGCTGATGATGACGCTGATGATGACGCTGATGATGGTGGTGATGATGGTGGTTATGATGATGATGATGATGATGATGATCAGAAGTCTGAAAGGCTGCCGTGCTACATCGGGGCTGATTCCCAGCTTCTTGGCTCCGTCCATGGCGTTGAAGACCAGGCCCTGGGAACGACAGGCACGGCTTCGTGGGCTTTGGGGCTTGTGGATTACGGTGGGGTTTAGGGCTTCAGGCTTCTAGGGCTTAAGAGTTTCGAGGCTTAGATCTATTTTCCTCTGGTTTAGACTTCGGATTTAGGGCTCAACAAACAACTCCCTCCTCCGGTCACAAAGAAACAATCGGCGGCCACAAGCCCTCCAAATCATTTTCTGGGCATCTGGCATCTTCCATGACCTTGCTCCATGCCACGCCAAACCTCGAATGGGAGCTCGAATGTCGTGCTGGATCCAGTGATGCGAATGCATCCATTGCTCTGAAACTTACCAATAGTTACAGCACAAGCCCACGAAGTTCCAAACCTTTCATCCCATCTAGACCATGGCTTTTTCAATACTTGCCAAGTGTGGACACGGCGTTCTCGTGAATGTATCAGGTGCCTTGGGAGTTCTGTAAGGGATCAAAAGGGGCAATTCTCTAAAGTAGGGTTCCTGTTTAAGTCTCCAATTAGTACGGCACCCTTATAAAAGGGACCCTAAAAGACACCCTAGTTTAGAGAACTACCCATATACCATTGTCGTGGAATTAGGTGCCCAAAGCCAAAATAAGACCCTAATTTAGAGAACTACCCTTTGAGGTTTCCATGGGTCGAAGCAGGATGTTCTAGGGAGGCAGCTGCTTCTCGAACTCCGCCTGAGCCTTCTCCTTTCAGATGCGAAGATTTCGGATCGAGGGTTGAGGGTTTAAGTTTTAGAGTTTTGGGTTTAGGGTTTAGGGTTTAGGGAGTTTAGGGAGTTTAGGAGTTAAACTCTAGCATTGTGGGGCTTCGAGTGAAGCTTAGGCCGTAAGCATCAAGAACTCTACTTCAGAGACTCCTGAGCTTCTCTGTCGAACCCTAAACCGAGAAAAAAAACCTAAAAACCCTGTCCTTCAGGATTTAGGGCTTCGGGTTGCCGTTTCCCCCCGGAAGGGACCAAACATAGTGAGGAGCGTCGGGGTGTATCATAATCTAAGTACATAGTGACTAGAAGGAGATACAGCTCTGTTCTGTTCTGTGGCGGTCTCAAGTGCCCTCAGCAGGGCACGTACAAAACTCTAGCAATTGCGGTCGGAGTCTTGTGCTAGTGCCTAGCGGTGCTCTGTCGTGGCCCTTCCGTGAAGCTGCCCGAGAGGCAATCGAAGATCCAAGGAGGAACGATTACCAAGTATTCAGACCCGTAAACCCTAAACCCTAAACCCTAAACCCCTAAACCTTGCTTGAGAACCCGGCTCCACAAGCGGCGACAGCTATTCAACCATGGCCCGGTACAGCCTGACACCCGCAATCCTCACCCCTAAACCGCGAGCCCCAAGATATTTGGGTGTAGCATTCTGGGCTACGGTTAAGGGTTTAGGGTCTAGGGTTTAGGGTACCTAGACTCTAAACCCCTAAACCCCTAAGCCCTTAAACCCTTCCACGCGAACCAAACCGCTTTCAGCAAAACCGTTTCTTGCTCCCGGTCTCCTGCACGGTGAGCTCCGAAGGCTTCTTCATGACGGCCTGCCCAACATTAGGTAGGGTTTAGGGTTTAGGGTTTAGGGTTCACCATAAGAGGGGGTTTTATGAGGGCTTCAACGGGCTTCACCAGGGTTTAACGAAGGGTTTCTACAAGCGTTGAGTCGGGCTGTTGATGTTTCTCTTAGGGCTTAGTTTGTTAGGGGTTTTTAACTGGGTTTCAGAGGGTCGCTACCGGCTTTAATTTATGGAACTGCGATGCTATAAAACAAGTTGGGGCATCTGTTTTTGTGCTCCTTGTCACAAGAGTCCCATTGTTTTTCTACCCTATTTCAGACCGAAGGAGCTTGGGGGAGAAATGTTATCAGGGGCTTAGGGATCGGTTAAGGGTTTAGGGTTGAGGTTTTAGGGTTTTGGGCTTAGGTTTTAGGGTTTAGGGTTTAGGGTTTAGGGTTTAGGGTTCCCTGGCTTAGTCGTTTAGGGTTTAAGGGCTCAGGATTTTGCTCAAAGGTTCTATGGGCGTGCGGGGCTCTGATAGTGGTCGTGGTAGGGAGTGGCAGTGATGGTGCTCGCGGCGGCAGCGCAGTGGTAGCTGTCGCAGTCGCCCGGAAGCTCTGCAAGCCAAAGCCCTCAGAGCAAGAGCATCTTACTCTACTCGACTATACTCCACTCTACTACACTATACTGTGATATAATATACTACAGCAATGTACTACAAGATATCCTAATACACTGATAATATCCTCCAATATGCTAGAACATGCTAGAATATGCAATCTGAGACAGTTGCCAGTGAACCGTTTACAAAACGCGATAAGTAGCGCGCAAGGCGCCCTTCTTGAACCCTACAAGCGCGGCTGAGCCCCAAAGCTGAAAGTAACCCCAAGAACCTCTTTACTAATAGGCTGTGTATGCTATACCAAAGTCGATGATAATACACTGTACTAAACTAGAACATACTATAACATGCAATGGTCTACTATAGTATATCATGAGAAACTAAAAATAGTATGCTACACCACGATATACTGTTATGTACTATAACAAAACTCTCTGTAAAAGCCCTTCATCCGCCTTGGCGGCAATGGCGCCGTAGTGGATGTCGATGAGCTTCTTCTTGTCGATAACTTCGGCCTGATCAAGGCTGCGCCACGGAGTTTGGTCACGGTAGGGGTCGCCATGAGGGTTGCCGAAACGGCTACTAGAGGCCTGAAAGCTTTCTGCTAGACTGGCTTTAATTGCATCGGATGCAGCGTCTTCGGCTTGGAGTTTCAGGCTGAAGTTTAGCAGTGTAGGGTTCAGGGTTTGAAGACCCTGAATCTTCAGTGACGTCGGCGTTAGGACATCGGGTTGGCCATCACTGCATCACGGATTCCTAAACCCTAACTAAGCCCTAAACCCTAAACCCTAAACCCTAAACCCTAAACCCTAAACCCTGAAACCCTAAACACAGAAACCGCCCACACCGGCCTCAACCCTCCACCCCAGGCCTTGATTGCGCCCTCGCTCTTGATGGTCAGGCCGCCTTCCGTGAGCTTGTCCTGCAGACTAGGGGGGGCTCTGGGAGGTGTTGAGTACATGCGGAGACCCTAGGTCCTGATCCTAAGGATCCTACTATTTAGGGTACTATATTAGGGTCCCCTATTTTCGGAAACCCTACATCCGGAGAGTACTGCTTCAAGATGCTAAGACAGCTGCCTCTCCACTTCAGGATCATTCCAACGCGCAGGGAAACGTGAACAGGTCTGGGTTTCCTCTGGCTACAGGGTTTAGGGTTTAGGGTTTAGGGTTTAGGGTTTAGGGTTTAGGGTGATCAGGACCATAAACATGAGCGAGCCCTTGAATCTGGGCAAGGTCCTGTGGGAGTTTCCGCAGATTCGGGTACCTTATTTGGGGTCCTGATCATAAGGATCCTACTATTTAGGGTACTATATTAGGGTCCCCTATTTTCGGAAACCCCCCTATGGGTCACCTTGCAGGGGTTCCCAGAGGCTCCAATATCCCTTAACTAAGGAATATACCTTAAACTATAGTAGGATCCCTAATATGATTTAAGGTATCTTCCTTAATTAAGGGGTATTGAAGTCTCGGGGTATCTTCCACCCAACCCTAAACCCTAAACCCTAAGCCCTAAACCCGAAACCCTAAATCCTAAACCCTAAATCCTAAACCCTAAATCCCTAAACCCTAAACCCAGGGTTCAGGGCTTCCTGTCCTTCACCAGAGTCTTCACCTTGTCGGTCCTCAACACAGTGCAAGATGCGTCAGGCTTGAGGCTGGCCGGTAGGGTTTAGGGTTTAGGGTTTCGGGTTTAGGGACATCAAAACCTCAAAGCACCGAACGTCTAAGTTTTCTTTGACTTCAAGCAAAAATCCTCGTGGATGAAGGTGCTTACAGTCTTACAACATCGACGAAGAGGTGTGTGACGTAACCAAGAAAGCTTCTGCTGCCAGGTGTTTGTATCCCTGGCACTTTGAAGCTTTCTTCTCGCCAGACCAAACACATTAAAGTGCCAAAACCCAAACCCAAAAACCCTAAACCCTGGCCGTAAACCCTGAAATCACAGTGCACACCAACTGCCGCCACTGCTACACAGCATGGGGCTTGATGAACACGAAGGCAGTGTGCGTCTTCGCGCCGGCCTCCAACAGGTTATAGGGGCCTCAATAATTAGCGGACGGTCCTGTTGTATATTATAATATACATACTGTTGATGATATAAACTCCTGCATTACCTTAATGACCCTCAACTATGGGGATTATGGCATATTCCTTCATATGGGTAATGCAGGATTTACATCATCAACCGTATGGTAAGCAACCCTACGGAGTAATATTGCCAAATACGGAGGCTTCTGTAGTAGATTACGGACTTGGGGAGCCCTCTTGAGAAAAAGAGTCCCGGCCTACGAGGGCGTCGTGCAAAACAAGGAGTCTACTGCTTACGGTCTATGCTAGTGTCCCATATTTCTGAAAGTCTGGCTCGTTCTCGCTCGTTCTTCTTACGAAGCTGATAGATTTTGGCATGTTGGGAGGTTGAGGGATGCACAAAGGTGCACGCGTCGAAGCTTCGGGCTTAATGGGTGGCCACTGAGCCGTTTCGGAAGTCAGGGTACCTTTGATTCCCTACGATGCCCCCTAGGACCGGAAAGAAGCTGCCTCCACAATCTCAGCGTTGAGGCACTCCCCAGTGGTCTTCATGATGATGTTGGTGACCTTGCGAAAAGCTGCCACCGTGCATGGTCTTGGCTGCTGCGTCCGAGTGAGCAAGCAAGAGTTGAAATCCATCCGCCGACTGTGATGTAAATTTCTGTGGCCGTCTTCATGACAAACATGGATGGACAGTTTAGATGATAGAGAGTAAAGAACCTTGATAGAAAGGGGCAATCGCGCACATTGATATGGTCATAGATGTCCAAGTAGCCCGAGACCCGAAACACACTCGCAGTCATAAAAAGACAATGGTTACGATCATGACCCGATGACCCTCAGGGCCGCAGGAACACATCAAGAACCACTGCATCAACAAAAACCATAGAAAGCCGCCAAACTTCAAACCCTCGTAAGCCTTGCACCCGACACCCGCCCAAGCCCTCAAACTCATGAGTTTGCCACGAAGCCACACAACGCAAAGACCCTGAAATCCGACGCCATGCACAACCCTTAAACCCCCCCCCCCTCCCAAGCCCCTAAAGCCCCCAAGAAAGGCCCCGAAGAATCCGATCACATTCGTAAACCCCAAACCCTAACACCCCAAACTCCAAAGACGCCCCGAAAGGCTCTTCAAGAGGCCCTTAAAAAACCCTTTAAACGGCCCTTAAACGGCCCTTAAAAGGCACTTAAGAGACCCTTAAAGGGCCCTTAAAACACCCTTTGAAAAGCCCCTTAAAAGGCCCTTAAAAGCCAATTTTAGCACCCTTAAAGGGCCCTTAAAAGGCCCTTAAAAGCCAAGGCTTCCTGAACCAAGGGGCCCGGTAGGGGTCGCAGTTGGCAGCAGGGCGGCGGTCCTCCATGTAACCCCGGCCAGCCTGGCTTTAGGGGTTTAGGGTTAAAGGTTTCGGGTTTGGGGTTTAAGGTTTAGGGCTAAAGGTTTAGGGTTTAGGGTTTAAGGCTTAGGGTCTAAGGTTTAGGGTTTAGGGTTGAGGGTTTAAGGTTTAGGGTTTAAGGTTTAGAGTTTAGGGTTTAGGGTTTAGGGCCTAGGGCGTGAGGTTTACGGAGTTTAGGGGGCTTAGAGTTTAGGGGGCTCAGAGTTTAGGGTTTGGGGTTTAGGGTTAGGGCGTAATCTAGGGGCCTTTATAATTAGAATAGGGTTTTGGTGTATATTATACTGTATTTCTCATAAGAAACCCCCCCAAAATAGTATAGGTGTTTATTTAGGGCCCTATACTAGGGCTTCAGGTTTAGGGTTTAAGGAGTTTGGGGCTTGACAAGTTTGAGGGTTAGGGAGTTTAGGGAGTTTAGGGTTTCAGGGTGCAGGGTTTCGGGTCTAGGGAGTTTTTAAAGTTTTGGGGTTTAGGGTTTCGGCTTGCGGGTCAAGGGTTTTGCCGTGGGATAGCGCGCAGGCGATAGCGCTGTGAAAGCCTGTCTCCGCCCCACGCCGTGTAACTTGGCCAAACTCCCATTTAAGGTTTAGACGGGGGCAGGGCAGGGCAGACCGCACCCAAGCCACAAACCCTTGCAGAACCATGGTGGTACCCTCCAAGAATTCCTCAGGAATCCTTCAGGTTCAGGGAATACTTAGGGATCAGATTTCGAGACAAATAGGGTTTAGGGGCAAGTTATAATAAGTAGAGTTGCAGGAACACTGAATGGGATGATCTTCGGCTGCTTACAGGATCCTTTTGATGATTTAGGTACCTGTACATCCTAACAGCCCTATTAACACCTGCTGCAAACTCCTACAGAACCTCATGAAACCCAACTGCACAATCACGGAAAGCCACACATCTCGCTCATGCGCCGCCTTCTCGGCATCGCGGGGGATGCGGATGGAAGCACCGCGGTTGGCGACCCCGTACCTAGTCAAAGGGTTTGTAAAGTTTTACAAGGGACGAAAACTGAGGGACTTGACAGATGGATGTAACGGATGTTCTAACGCCAGTGGTCCCTTTTTCCTGGGTCCGACAATTGGAGGATTGTTCTATTGAGGATCTGTCTTAGGTGTACCGATGTACCCCTCTTCCTGCATCTGCCACTCAAGCTTTGAGGCTTGCAGTCACATCTGCAGGGGCTTCTGGGGCTGTTAAGATCTTGGGGGCTCAAGTTTAGGGTCCAAGGCTTAGGGTATCTATAGCTACAGTAGCCCTGTAGCTCCCCTTTGAACATCCACTACGTTGCACCTTGAAGGCGTCTGAACTTGCTCTACCAGGGCCCCGTATACGCAACCATCCACCTGCATCTATCGACATGCGGTTTCTAAGAATACTTCCAGCCCTTCACGGCCAAGACCCGTGCTTCATGAGCCAGCTTGTTATAACCAAGGCCACTGTTGGTACCATTTCTGAGATCCTATCCCCGAGTCGCTTGAAGGTGTTGATGTCGCAGGTCTCGTGCTTTCCAGTGAGGCGCTTGTCGTTGCCCTCACCTCGGCAACGAGCCAAGTATGGCTCCTGCTGGGGTTTAGTGTTCGGGTGACTGTGCTGTGGGTTTGGGTAAAAACAAGGTTGTCCTGACACAAGCTAGGACTCTTCTAATGCCAGAAGACCTACTGACAACGGGACGAGTAGTAATAGAAGTTGACAAGGAAAAACACACCGGACATGCTAACCGCCCCGGATCCTTTAGGTTGTTGCTGCTGCAGTTGTAGCAAGATTCTTACGCGGGCCTATGATCTCTATACATGCATTGCTAATGAGCCTGGTTGCCATGATCAACGTCCAAAGTGTCAACATATACAGCATCAGTCAATCTTAATGCTTGTCATTGCTCATATATTTGATGCCGTTGTCGTCAGGACCCAGACGAAGGAACGCCCAATATAAATGCGCCATACAACCAGTGTAAAACACCACAAACCCCCGCAACCCTGACAGCACCCTATAAGCTCTCCGAGGACCCTTAATGAGAAAAAGCTATGTTCAAGAGATCTACCTGCGAACTCCAGGCTCCATTCCCTAAACCCTAAACCCTAAACCCTAAACCCTAAACCCCAAGCACTAAGCCTATTGATGCCCGAGCTGCCGTACTCGGCAATGTGCTCCTTGGCGACCTTGCCGAAAGCCTGGGAGTCTGCGGGTCTTAGGGATTCTTAAGGTTTAGGGTTTAGGGTTTAGGGTACGGTCTGGGGCTTGTTAAGAAGGGGTGCTATCGGGGGTTAGGTTAGGGCTTCGGGATCTTGGCGGCATACGCTTTTGGGACGATGGTGTGCCGGTAGTATCCCGATACTAATCGTCGTCGTGGTAGCAGCAGCAGTAGTAGTAGTCGTTGTCGCCGTAGAAATAATAACTACTACTGCACCAAAAGTAGTAGAAGTAGAAGTAGTAGAAGAAGTAGTAGTAGTAGTAGTAGTAGTAGCAGCAGCAGCTGTTGTTGCAGTTGTGGTAGTTATTGCAATAGCTGTAGTAGTAGTCGTCGTCGTCGTAGTAGTAGTAGTAGTAGTAATAATAATAGTTGCTGTAGTCGTAGTAGTAGCAGTAGAAGTAGAAGTAGTAG